GCGAGTCCGAGGGGACTGTGCCCAGCCAGGCAGGGCTGCTGGAGGCTGCCAGGCTGGAGCTGCGGGGGTGGCGCAGGCTGGCTGGGCGCCCCAGCGCTTCCCACAGGGCGCAACAGGGGACCAGACTTCGCAGCATCTGCGGGTGCCACCAGGAGCGGAACCGAGCCACAGGGTGTGAACGCAGCCCCTTGCTGGAGCTCTGCAAGGAGCAGCTGCTGCCTCCCACACGGGCTGCGCGCCGAGGGACCGAGAGGAACACGCGGTGCAGTCAGGCCGTGCAGGAGCTGGTTGCCAGCCAGCACCAAGTCTGAGGAGGATTTCATGGCCTGCCTCAAAAATACATTTTTTGGAGTCTGAAACTCCGGTTATTCTCCTGCAGAACAAAGAAGAGGCAGTAAGTAGGATGGTCAGGAATGTCCCCTGCAAACCTGACAGCTGCCTGGCACCCTGGTCAGCAGTGTGGCAGTGAAAATGCAGCGCACAGTTCAGAGAAAGAGGGTTTGCCAGAGCTGCCATGGGCCCGTTTAAACGTGTGCAAGTCCATGGCACGGAAGACGGAGCACAGAGCAGCAGTGGGGAAGCTTGCTTTTGAGGGGGGAGTCAAGGCTCTCGCCAGGAGGTTGAGAGGAGCTGAGTAATGAGCAGATGCCATCGCGTGGGGCGCACCGCTGGCGCGAAAGCTGCTTCTGTCAGCACCGTGAAGGCAAGGCAGCTCTCCCGCCTCAAGCAGTGACCGGCAAGACGCTCGCTGCATGGGCTGGGCATGAACCTCATCGCTCAGAAAAGCTCAGTGCTACCTTACGTTTTCCAGGGAACACACAGAAGTACCAGTGGCTGCAGACATCACTCCTCTCTGCTAGGATGCAGTGCTCTCTTCCTCAGCGTGGGAGAGTAAATTGGGCTTGTTTTTGTTGAAGTCCAGTCACAAAAATAACTTGAACAGCCTGGACAGCCTCCGGCCAAAACAGAAACTTTGGGGCGTTAAAGACAAAAATTTCTTCAGCGAAAGTGAGCTCTCGTACGACAAAACCACTAAAAGGCGCTGTGCCCAAAGGTCCTCCTAAAACCAGAGCCGACTCGCCAAGGCTGCACCTGCAAACGCCCAGAAACACACAACGGTGCCGCGTTCCCACCTCCAGAGAGCTTTTAGGTCAGCCACAGCGTTACGTGCTCCGACGCTTCGGATGGCAAGAACCAAATTAACAAGTCGGTGCTGTTCATCTCATGAACGGTGCGATAGCAGAGTCGCTCTGGCCGGTTTCTGTTGGAAGGTAGTAAAATAGTTTCTAAAAAAATCTTTGGAAACTGCTCTGTATATCAAAGGTGTAATTTTACTTAAAAACACGCATACTTCGGAGAAAGAGCTTAAGCTCCCTCATTTGGTCAATGTGCTTTGCCTGCAGAAAGTTCTACCAATAAACCTGTGGAAACACAGTGAATAACAGGGTGTACGGGAGCTGCTCCTCTGTGTTAGAATGCTCCTCACGTGGAACAGAACTTCTGTTTTATATTGGACCAGTCTTTTGTGCCAGTGTTTAGATTCTGAGGTAATTCTTTGTAAATTAATCAAAACTAATGGCTTTTGCTGCTTCACAGGTTGATGCAGAAGGAACACAGGAGGATGTTTTTCTGGAAGTCTGCAAGACAATTGACTCTTTTCTCGAAAAGGAAGAGGCAGCATTTTCTTTTTCAACAGAAACGCAGTAGTGGTGTGCACACAGCCTCACTGACGTGCGCTTGGCTTCACGGACGAACACTGTTCGAAGCAATGCTGCTTTCGCCGGAGGGGTCTGGGATTTGTGCATGCGGTACGTAACGCTAGGTGAAACCTCCTTTCCCTGTTCTGACGGCGCGCCAACAGGACACGGCCTGGATGCTAACGCCGCACCACGAGCTGTCCGTTGTGTCGCTGGTGCTTTGCTCCTCACGGGTTAACCACAGCGTGGTGAGCAGCAGCCCCAGTTTGCATTTGGAAACTGGGCAGTGCCGGGCCAGCGGTGAGCTCTTCAGCCACATCATCCACCGTTCAGCCTGTTAACTTTAAGATTACTGCATACAAGTTTCCCTTTGGTTATTATTTTCTTTTAATTGTCGGTATCAACTTCTGTGGTGTCACTTCGCTTGTTCCTGGGCTGTAAGTGACTCAGATCTGTTCCCTGTTACATGCAGCTGTAAGACAGCTGGAATTAGTTGAGCCAGAAATTACACTAAACTTTTCAGTTACATGCAGCTGTAAGACAGCTGGAATTAGAGCCAGAAATTACACTAAACTTTTCGCACATCCCCAGACCACTGTTACAAGAAGCAGAAAAAGTAATTGAAGGTGAAGGTCCAGTTAAATATTGTGGATGTCTGTCAGTCCATTATGGAGCAGACACCATTTTGAGGCAGCCTTGTCTCCTGCTGGGAACTGCAGGGTGTTGGAAGTGCCCGCTTCCCCCTTCTGTGAGCCAAGGCGAAGGCAACGAGCATATTGTGTAGCTCCATGTGCAATCCAGTAATTAGCTGTATTAACAGCAGTTTTACTGTATTCCTTGGAGCCTACATATAAAGTTGACTGTGAGCCAGAATGTGTGGAGATGTCTTTAAAGCACACGTTGGAACTATTGCAAGTGCAAAATTCAGACCATCACCTGTTGTCTTGTGCTGGCAATGCCAGCACTTCGGGAGGGGGGAAAAAAACCAACAACAACAACAAAGGAAAACATCAGGGATCATTTGATTCATCTTGCTTGCATCTTTAGTAAGCCATTTATCCATAGCATCTGCAAAAAAGCCTGTAAAAATCCTATCGTATTTCTGTTAGGTTAACCAAAATAGTGTGGAGTTCCTTTGGTATTCTGATAGCTACATAAAAGCTTGTTTGACTTTCCTGTAAAGTAATTGCATCCTCTTACTGGAACTACTGGGTGAATCACAGCTGAAGTGGGTTGCATGATAGCTCTTACTGTTGAAGTTGTACTTAATGCAGCGGATTTGTACTTTCGGAGTGACCTCTCTTGTAATGAAGACACAATACGAATAAAACCGGTACAAAAAAGAGGAGCAATGGTTTCTGTTACAGTACACGTGGGTTTAATCCTTTTTAAAGCACAGTACAGGACATGAAAATACAGCTCACACGGGCATGCTTACAGAGTGTGTCCCCTTCCATGCAGGGCAGGCTCTTGGCTTTCCCTCCCTGGCCTTTACCCTGCAAATGCGAATTCAGTCACCTCTAAGGGGCCGGTGTAGCTGTGTGCTTGTCCCTCATATCCTGGGTGCTCCTCCTTCCCCCGGTCCGCGCACAGCCTGCATTGTACCCTGGGCTCGAGGAGGAGCACCTCCAGCTCCCGACTGGTGCCACTAAGGGACCGGTAACGTCTGCAGTTCGTAAGCAAGAGGCGCTCAGAACGCATCAGGCTTGCGAAGGCAGGTTTGGCTAAACCGAGCCTTGAAGCACTAGCAGCCGTCTGGTGTAAGATCTGCCCCAGAAGTAAGATATTCTGGAGTTACCACGAAGTTGCAAATTCATCTGGGTAGGTTTTCTGGAGTATTTTTTATTACTTCTAATTACAATATAAGTTAAAAAGGGTGGAGTATCATACTTGTGCAGGTCAGGAACAAAGGCAACAATCAGCTGCTGATTTTTTTTTTAACTCATATTACAAAGATTTAACATACAGTTTGTTTATTTTTTCTTTCTGCTTCTTCTGGTCTTTTCTGTGGAACAAAACAAAAAATTCCCACACTTGATAGGGTGTATGTGCATCAGATCTCTACTTGCCTATGTTCATAATGTATGCAAGAGAAACAGCTGTATATGCATGCAAATGGAAATATAAATATTTATACATATTCAATAAAAGGAGGACTTATCCAAGACACTTCATTCTCCTGGGTGATTCAGACTTGAAATTCCCCTTCTGCTTCCAGTCTCACTCAAATTATACCACAGCTCTTCGTTCTTCCCAAGCTATCCCAAACTGGCAGCTGAACCTCTCACTAAGGTACTTTCCTTATTTTCTTCCAGTCATTTTTTCAGGTATCAACAGAAAACCAGTATTGCCACAGATTCTCTCCCCGATAATACACCTTCACCAGCCCTAGCTTCCTATAAACAGCACGAGTGACGTGGAAGGCACTTTTTGTGCGGCACTGGAGCCTCTCAGGGCTGTATCTTTCCAATTAAAAACTGAAATGCCTCATGTGAATTTTGGTGTAGTATTTTTTTTAAGGTTTATTAAATTTACCTAAGATTACTAGGTACACGAGATAGGTTTACATACGATACTTGCTCAGTGCTTCAGTAACTGTACTGCAGGACCTTCTAAATAGATTAAACGCTTAAAATTTTTTTTTTCCCCTAAGCAAAAAAATAACTACACCTAAAGTTATTGCAAAACCTAGTACCGATCAGTTTGTACTTAGAGGTGCAGCCAGCCAATTAGCCTTATTGCCATCCTTTGAAGTCAAATTAGTTTCTTTTCTAGCTAATTACTGCGAGTCTTCAAGCATCGAAGCAACTGGCAGCCTGTGACAGCCCTAAAATAATCGAGTGTTGCTGAACCACAAGCTGCGCACCTCCACAGGAGATGTGTGAACAAAGGTCTGTCACGGGAATTACACAGCTGCCCCGAGGACGGCGTGCCGCGTGCCACGGCC